CCTCCAGCTCTTCTTGTTCTTTCACAGGCTGTTCTTGTCTGGTAACTCTGCCTCTGGACTACGGGGAAAGTAGACAGTGGCTTTGTGCTCCTCATATCGATCGATGTGCTTGAGGTGTACCACCATGTGCAGGGCATAGGCTAAGACGAGGAGCAGGATCAAAGATGTCACCAAGCCCATAAGGATGGCTGGTGTCAAGAAAGTGGCACAGTCACTAGCTGATGCAAACTTGTCTGACTGTACATTAAAGGCCTGGATCTGGAAGAACAGAAAGAAGAGACAAAGATGAGATTAGGCTGAACTAAAGAAGACAACTGGTTCTTATGGGTCTTATCAAACACTGGACAGATGGACAGGTTGGGTCAGCCTAGCAGGTAGCTAAACAGACAGACTGACAGGCTGCCTAACAGACAGTAAACAGTCTGACTGACTGACAGACAAACAGGCAGAACACAAAAGAAAAAGAAACATACCAACACATTCACATACAATATATATGAAACAGGGGAAAGTCAATGATATAACAGTGAATGTGTAGACATTACTAGAAGACTGTGCCTCGTATGTGACAGTGTACCTGAAAATCGGTAAAAGTGATGTGCCAGTTAGCAGATGTGTCAGTGTGGGAGCTGGGTACTAGCAGGGTGTCATATTTGTGCAGGCTGCTGACGTGCTGGCAATGGTAGGATGAAGTAGCCGGAGCGTAGACCTCACTGGCATTGAACGTAGCCTCCTGGGTCCAGTTGTAGTGGATGTGAACACTGTCTAGTGTGAACCAGTTTTGACCAGCTGCCTCATAAAAAGTGTTGGACATCTGAAGCCTGACAAAGGAGATAATGCATTTAGTTAAATAGTTAGTCTTTGGTATATTTTAAAGCAAAAATGGACTAGTCTGTGTGATAAATGAAATGTTTTCATTTGGTATTAGATTAGCGATTAGATTTTTAGGTTGTTGGTCAGCAAATATATTTGAAGCAAGCATGTGCATTTTACCTGATTACTAGACCTCTTAAATCTTCCACATCACCAAACCTTAATGAAAGCCTGTGGCAAAACAAAACCATATATAATCCAATATCTGATTTAACACAGTACCTCAGGGGAATTATTCAATGACCACAAATATTAAACCATTACTCTCTTCTAGGTATGCTACTTTCCTTCAGTCATTTAATTTCTAACTCTGTGTCGAACAATAAGTTGTGTCAAACCTATGCTGATGCCTGATGGTTAAGTAAGCTTTTGTTAGGCTTGTCTAGCAAATTATGTGCAGCTTTCCTCTTGTTTCACTTACGTAGCTTTTTCCTTGGTGCAGATGGAGCCTTTGGTGTCTACCGGTGAGCTGGGGTTGAAGACCCTCTCAGTCAAATCAATAAAGGTATGGTTCCTGTAGCGTATTGCCAGGCGCTTTGCTTTGAACAGAATGCAGGTCTTCCCATTGTAAGACACACTCAGAGGACCATAAGGCCCCATCAGAGATTGGAGTAGCTTCCTCTTACTGTGAGACATCCCTGGATGATGCCAGTTGAAAGGCTGAAAATATATGAAGCATAGAATAAAGCACAGGAGAAATCAAGAACCTGCACCAAACTGGCAACCAAAGCCTGGGTAGCAGCAGGTCTGCATTTTTTTAACTGCCCTCTAGAGGGCGCTCAGATTTTTTATTTGGACACATACATAAGCTGTGCCTCCTTTGAGGAGCTGGACACTTAGAAGGATTTGACCCACAAAAGGTTGATGCCCTAAAGATTTTGCTGATCCTGCTCCTCCTATTTGTGATGCCAGATACTCTTTTTTAAAGTCCAAAACAAATGGTGCGTTTGTGCACTCTTATTCAGCTGTTGAATCAATAGTTTCAAGGTTTATCACAAGGAAGTTGACCTCAAGCAGCTAAAATAGGCCAGTCGTAACCTGATACATGTGGTATAGAGGTAAACTAGTAGGAGTTCAGTGAAGAAATGCAGACCGGAGGATTCAGGGGTTGCAGCAATAGAGACTCAGCCATTTCAGATCATTGTTCTTGTGCAACATTTGTCAGTATGATCTGCGTATAGCAGGTCTTGATATATTCTGCATCAAAGCAAGCTTCCTTTGGTGCTCAACCTGCTATGGCTCCCTCTTACGCATGCTGTGATATTTAAAGGGTAATTTTAAAAAAATCACCTTTCTTTTATTCTCAACATAAAATGTCAGCAATGTGCAAAGTCCAGTGTTCCAACCACCAAATGAGGAAAGATCAGTGTTGTCTTGGAGTTTTCTGGTGTGGTAGCTGTTAGACTGCATTTCTACACTGAGCAGATAGAAACCTCCCCCTCTGTTTTTTAATCTCTGTGTTCAGTGGCCACATCTAATAGGAGGGCATTTGGGCTAATGCACTACTATGTTACAAGACATGTAAAGAGCACAGTCACAATGGCTTTGTGTGTTTTTGTTTGTTTGTTTAAACAAAAGCATTTTAATGATAATTGAAAATATGAAGCAACTTTGATGATGATTTCCAAAATATATAAAAGCTCTAAAATTGAATACAGTAGACAAGGAGAGGCAACGAATCAGTTAACAAATACACATGTATGGATGCATCAGCTGATGCACCATATGGTGTCACTGAATTTTCAGTGAGTGTGGTTCTGTTTTGTGGTTTTAACTTTGGTGAACATGAAACCAACAATATTCCCACATTCAAGGTCAAGCAGTGTGTCTGAGGGAGTGATTCTGTTTTGCCTGTGTCTTAGTGTGTGTGTGTGTGTTTCAAAGTACAGGTATAGATAGAGGGGGGAAATAGAGAGAGTGTACCTGCAGTATTCTCCTGAGAGGGTTTTCATCTTCAGGTGTCAAAATAACCTCTTCACTTTCTAAGCCATACCCACCATCTTGACCTGAAAACATGTACACACATGACTGCACTATGAAAGATTGTATCAGTATTAAGCTGAGAGCAATGCTGCATTGCGGATTCCACCATAATCATCAAAGATTTTCCAGTGTCACACATGCTATAGATACACATACATACACACAAAGAGATCCTGCATATGCCTCTGTGCTCAGGTTCCTATCTATTTCCAGTTGTTTTGCGTCATCACAGTGACTCATCAGCAGTTTTTCTCACAGTTACGATAGTACAGCTCCGTGTTTACAAATACTGTTCATCCAAATCCAGAAACAGATGATTTGCCATCATATTATTTAAAGGAATGTCTCCATCATTTTTTCAGCTTTTTTGTCATGGGGTTCAAATAGATCCACACATCTGAACCAACACTGAGGTGTAAGGATCACAAAAAAGCGGCACTTCAAAATCTGTTACAGTGTAGAAAAGCTATAAAATGCTTTTGTCAGGACTATGTCTACAGCACGTCAGCATCAGAATTACTATGGTATGTCTGATTGAATCAGGCCTTGTGTCACAGGAGATCTGTTACTTACTTGATGTGACTCTTGTTGCTTGTTTGGGGTTCACTTTGCTGTGGAAAAGACAGAAGACACAATTAGGCTTCACGGTTCCAAGGTCAGAGAAATGCTGAAGGTTTTTCATTTCCTGTTTTTGCTTTTTGTTTTTTTGATAATGCACCGTAATGTTCAGGGGATGCTTATTTTGCAGTTTCCCTTGAATGAGAAAGTTCATTGTCTACTTATGCAGCTGCAGCAAACACACAAGGACAAAAACAGCTTTGTAGGCTAGTCTAGGTAAAACCATTTTTAATAATATTACATCCAGTAAAATTTATTTTATAATCTTATATAATGAATATTTCAAATGTAGAGCAAAGTGTTTGTATATTTACCAAGAAATAATCATACACATTTTACACACCATTTTATTTATTCACTACTCAACCAGTGTGTTTATAACACATGCTTTTGAAGTTAAGTACCACATACCTAAAGAAAATGTTTTGTGTATGGTACGTCATGTACAAAATATACGCTCAGTTGCCACTTTATTAAGTACACTTAGCTGACGCTAATGTAATGTAGTCTAATACAACAGTCATGCAATAAAATCTTTGGGAAGGTGCTAGTGTTTGATGTTTGTTCAAACATTTTAGACTGTATCATCATTTTGGGGGCTGTAGTTTGTGGAACTGTTGCGTGGCTGTGCATTGTACAAAGAGGCATTTCTGTTATTTAGCCTAGCCTTACTGATATAAATGGGTTGGACAAAATAATAAGAATATCTGTCAGCATGATGCAATAGCTCCACAAATTGCTGCAAAATAAAAGTTAAATTTGTTAAGTGTGTTAATACTTCGCAACAAGGCTGAACATTATAATCTTCATAAAAGTGAAATGTATTACTGCAGTTTTATTAAACTGTATCAGTTTTACCTAGGTGTACATAATAAACTGTATGTGCCATTCCCTATCTTTCCATCTCTCTTCTCATTTCCTGTTATCTCTCTAATGTCAATTATCAATAAAGGTATAAAAAGCACCCCAAAACATTTAAAAACATTTTAATTTGATATATAGACTTGTTCAAATATACAGTGGGTACGGAAAGTATTCAGACCCCCTTAAATTTTTCACTCTTTGTTATATTGCAGCCATATGCTAAAATCATTTAAGTTCATTTTTTTCCTCATTAATGTACACACAGCACCCCATATTGACAGAAAAACACAGAATTTTTGACATTTTTGCAGATTTATTAAAAAAGAAAAACTGAAATATCACATGGTCATAAGTATTCAGACCCTTTGCTGTGACACTCATATATTTAACTTAGGCTCTGTCCATTTCATCTGATCATCCCTGAGATGGTTCTACTCCTTCATTTGAGTCCAGCTGTGTTTGATTATACTGATT